ACAGACAGTCCTGCCGGCACAGGCACATACCTGATTGGACTTCTTGGTCCTCACCTCTTGGCTTCCCTTTTCACTCTGATGTGTGCAGCAAGGAATATGTCTTGATCATGCATTGTTCTTGGCTTTCTCTAGTATGTCCTTCCTCCTCTTTCCTGTGCTTTGCATGACCACTGCCTTCATTCCGGATGACCACCTTCCTTGGATTTGCCCATCAAAACTAATCTTTCTAGAATCTTTTTCCTATAGGATTTGCTCTTGCCAACTAGAACTTAGAAAGAAACCAGATAAACTAGTTCCACTAGGATTTTAATTTCTGAGCTATTAATGAGTTGCTGTTGTCACAGCATAATATTCTTTTACTGAGAATTCAAGGGAGAGATTTTAGGCTCCATGGGAGGCTGTTGGTGAAGACACCTTATGGCCTCCGTACCTCTCCGATCATGCAGGTGTGGGCCTGATCTGGCCCAGGTGTGACTGCGTTGATCCTGACACCAGGTACATGCATGCCCCTCATGCACCTAATGCTGAGTCCTGGTCCTGACTACCCACCTTGCAACCTGGAGAGAAATCATGCTTTGCATTAAGTTGCTACCAGCTTTAGGCATGCAAAGTCTATCTGCATTGAACTGTTTGACCAAATGTATACCAGGGTGACATTCCAAAACTTTAACAATTGGTCTGGCAAGGGTACTGAGCAATCAGATCCACGATGCTGAAGAAGGGGCACCTCAGGCTGCCATAGGCATGTGTCTCAGAGCCTGTGATGGGCAGTGCGGGGCAGGTTGGCAGGTGACAGGATACTGTCCATGAGGAACGCGAAGGTCAGAGGTGGGACAAATGAGGCAGGTGTAGGCATTAAAGGAGGTCCCCAGAAGCCTGTGGAAAGGCCTGCCTGTTGGATGAGCCACTCCCGTGGCTGGCCTATGTGTGCCATTTCCCCAGTATGTGCGTGCTCTTGGGCCACTGACTCATGTCCTAGCTGCCATTGTTTTCTGCCGTCTCAGAGACTTGACTTTAGCCAGGTTTCCTGGCGCCGTGCCAGCTTTCCTCTGTGCTTCATTTCATCCCTTTCAAGCCCTTGCATGTCACTGTGTTATAATTCAAAACTTTTTGGGCTGGGATCCAATGAACCCAACCCAAGGAGGAAACTGGTTTTCTCATTGTTTATTTGGAACCACGAAGCAGAATGTGTCGGACACTCATTTTCAGTGTTTCATTGAGCTGGAACTGAATTGAAACTCAACTCTTTCCAGTGGTGCCTTCCAGTGTGAAATGATTTAGAGGCTTCCAACGTTAGATCAAGAGGGCTAATTAGAACACGAAGTGGCCCTAAGTTTCCTTGCTCTGATCATCACCACTGGCTCTCTCACCCTTTGCTTAGAATTTTGTTAGAGGCTTCAAAACCTTGTGTGAAGCCGGGGTATTCTCAGGTGCTCTCGGTATATTCCAGCAAGGACTCCCCAAAGTATCTCGGTGTGAAATATCTTGGTCTAGGCCTCTGTCCTAACCTTCTGTGTGATCCCACAATAGACAGACTTATCTGTCACTACATGGCTCTACCCAGTGTGACCTGGGCACGCAGGTACCGTACAGTGTATGGAGGCACCACATACTGCTGCAGCAGGCTTGTTGGCTGCCTGCCCGACAGCCATTCATCCTGCTTTGGCTGCAATAGGGCAGAGCTCACCTGCTACAGTGGAGGCTGACAATACTAGATGCATGCTCTCCCAGACCCCTCTGCTGCTGGGAATGGCGGTATGACCCAGTTCTGCCAAAAAGACATAAATGAACATATTCTGGGAGAGCTTCTGAGAAGGATTGTCCTCCCTGATAAAAAGAGACATGAGAGAGTGACTGTTACAATTCTTGTTGCCCCCTTCTTCCTGGTGTGGTATGTGTAACCAAGGCAGCTATCTAGAGACCACGAGGAAACAGGCCTGCGGATGGAAGTGGAGTCTTCTGAGGATGCTGAGAACGACGAGGGGGATGGAAAGAGACTGCGTCCTTGATGACGTGGTTGAGCAGCTGCACCAAACCTGGAGAAGAATCTCCGACTTTCAGGATGGAAACTACTATTGCACGGAGCACTTTTAGACGGGTATTCTGTTACTTATTGCCCAAAGCATCCTATTTAGTATGGCTGCCTGGTATTTAATATGTTCTTGTCTTCTGTTTCTTAGAAGGAAGAAGTCACTGGAATATTCTTCCTTCAGCCTTGTTGCCTGGCTGCCTCTTACTCAGCCTTAGCACCACACTACTCCATTTACTCATTTACTTGTTCGTTCACCTTGTAAAGTTTTGGTGAGGGAATTGTCCATGGCTGTTTGATTCACTACCATAGTCCCAGTTCCTGTTCCGTAATAAATAGTCATTCAAAAAACATTTGCCAGTGAATGAGTGCATGGGGGCCATGGCGGAGGTAGAATGCTTAGAATGTGGCTACTGCCCAGAGGTGAGAGAGTGAAGTCAAGGATGTCACACCGTTTCCGGCTTGTATGGTGGGCAGAACACTGTATTTTGCCGAGTATAATGCACACTTTTTGGGCCAAATTTTTGAAGGAAAAATGAGGATGTGTATTATACATGGGTATAATGATTACATACCATGGGTATAATAATGGGTATAATAATGTATTATGTGCCCCAAAACATGGGTGCATTACACATGACAGCACAATGTACACGGCAAAATACAGTAGTTGAAGAAGATGAATTTTGTCCCGGGGGTGTTGGAACCGAAGAAGTGCTTTTGGAATAGCCCCGGCGGACAGCTTCAGTCCAGGATCTGGACTGCACATCAAGAAAGAAGGAACCAGCCAGGAGGAACGTGTAGCATAAGAAGTGACTCTTCAGTAGCTCCCTTCTCACTGCGTGGTCCCACCGTCGATCTTGTTGCCCAAGCCAGAAATCAGGAAGTCATCCGTGAGGCCTCCCTCTCCCTCCCCTCCCGTATCAGTCCACCACTCAATACTGAGATTCCACTTCTGTCTCTCACACCCATCAACTGCCCTCCATCCCCTTTGCCACCACGGGAGTCCAAGCCAACCACCTCTCTCCTGTGCTATTGCGATGGCCTTCTATCTGGTTTCCCAAACCCACTCCAATGCTCTCGCGCTCACCGTATTCCAGTCGCATCAGTCTACTCTCGCTCTCTGAAAGCCACTCTGACTCTTGTCTCAAGGCCTTTATGCATGAGATTTCCTTCGCCAAGGACACTGCTCCATCCACCCTCCGCCTGCCCCACTCTGGTCTCCTTTAGCGCTCAGACCAAACATCACATCCTCAGGGATGTCTGACTACCTCTGACTGCTACTCCTTATCCCACTCACACTTTTGTGGCCTCAGAAACTTAACTTTGTTGGCAAACCATGGAGTGACTGGGCTTTTGGTGGCATAGAGAGGCAAATAAAACTTTAAAAAGACTTACCTAGCAAAATTAAATTATTCATTAAAACGAGAAATATAACTTGAGGATCAGAGATTCTTGAGTAGGGACAAGCACATTTTTTCCTTTAGAAGGGGAATCTACCCAGAAAGTCAAAAAGCTTGTGAGTACAGAAGCAGGTGAGGGGCCATGGCAGCATGATTTAAATGTTTAAATTTGCTAAACCACGATTCCCCAGCGTACCCATTCCCAGCGTGGAAACTTCCCCTGACATCTGTTCCTGGGGGACCACCCCGGTGCTGAAGACCCCCTGCCAATGCTTGTTTCCAGTTCCTAAGCTTCAGTGGTTAATATGCTACCCCATCGCACTTAAGTTTGCTTTAGATTTGTTAACATCTCCTTAGTGAATACTTAATAGGGCTAAGGTCAGATCTGGGAGCTGTCCTTTCTTTTAGATGACTTGGCGCATATCTGGCTCTGATGTATGTATTCACAGTTCAATTCTAAGAACTGTGAAAATAGACTCTTACAGGACTTATGTTCACTTCTTTAAAAGTCTCTTATTTATTTTTTTTTTAGATTCCTTCAGGATCGACATTGCTGGATGTCTGAGCAAACAGAACTGTGTAGCACGGAAGCTGCAGCCCTGCTGCTGGTCTGCGGGGTTGCCAGTGCAGGCTCCAGGACATCGAACTCTGAAGATCAGGGCCTTTGGGGAGGTGGTTGTTAGATGAGGGGGAAGGCTGAAAACATGCATATGCGTAAACCCTTGCTATGTACTCAACAATTACACAAACATTCTTGCACAGCTGTCACTGGAAAATCCTCCTCTTCTGAGGAACTTAACCTTCTGTCTCAACGTAGTCCAGGCTAATCAGGTGTTTTGGGAAACAAGCCAAGCTGCACGAAGAGCGCCTGCAGGCACGACATGCAATGTCTGCAGCCTTTAGTAGAAGAGTCTCAAACCCTTTTCTCTATTGTCCATTTCAGACCAGAGGGGACGTTTAATGACCAGATCACTCTTGTACCAACAGGCAGGGGAGGTGTGCTTTGGTCAAGGGCACTGCAGTGGGCCAACCCACTGCAGCCCCGTTTTGTATCCTGTTCAGGCTGTCCTTGGAAACTTGGAATATGTTTCCATTCTTCCCAGGCTTTCTCTGAAGTATGCTAACCCTGGATGAAAGGAGGTGGAGAACTGCTTGGGTGGCAGAGACAAGCACAGCCCACACGGCTTGGGCTGGAGAGCCGGCCCCTGAGGCCAAGGCACAGTATCGGCCTCAATGGGGCCCAGGCCTGTCTGGGAATGCATGGCAGCTGGCTCTCATCACACTCACCTCCAGTGGTGGCGGCATGCCCTGCACATCTGTACCTGTCCTCAGTGACCCGTTCTCATCCCTGAGTGTGCAGAGCGAGGACGGTTGAGAGGACACCCCAGGGGATGGGCCCATAAATACGAACAGGTTTTGCTCAGGTACAACTCTGACGCTACCACCAAGTACAAGTAAGGAACAGCAGTCTAGTAGCTTGAGACGTGAGCAATACATACTCACACATGGATTGTTAACACACAACAGCTATAAAAGGCACGTATGACTTTTAAACAAAACACAAAAAAGCTGTGAGTATGATTTATTTGTATTCTTACACAGAAACTTGTTATATAAATGGTAGGAAAAAATACAAGTGTTCTTGAAGAAAACTCATAAAATACTTAATTTTAGGCTAATGCTTAGTGACAAAAATAGCTTGGGAAAACCAATACCAGTTAAATTAGACAATGTACAAGGCTTTAAAATGTTCTTATTCACAAGTCCGTGTGAGCACACAGGGAGAAGGTACGGGATTACCACCCTGGGCAGGGCTCCTCTCTGAAGATGGGCTTGGAGACAGTGAGGAGGCCTCCGGCTCACTCAGCCGCTGCCGGGTTCCTGACTCCTGGTCCTCCTCGGTGGTGCTCGCTTTTCTCGCCCCCTCCCCCAAGTCTCACTTCGCAAATTCCCTAACCAGAGGGACGGCAGTTCAAACACTGACATTTTCATTTTTCCACAGGAATATATGTGACTGTTGCCAAGTCGTGGTTTCAAAAGGCTTTGGTCACAGGGCTTTTAAATGGGAACCAAGGTTGTTTGTTTTCCTGAGAGAAGGAAGAAGTGACCTTCTCCCTAAACTATTTGTAAATTTACTTCCCTTTTCATGTTTATTGATTCAGCACACTGTGTATTTGGCACTGAGCACGGCGAAGCCAAAGAGGAAAAACCCTTTAGGGTTCCCCAGTTGCACCTCCTGCATGCTCCGAAATACTGGGCTGATACACAGCGAAGGGGACGTTCTCACAAGAAAAAGATGATAAACTCTACCTAAAAAAAGCCTTTGCAATCTCCATGAAAAGCAACAGTACAGGATAATTTTGACTGACAACAGCCCTTTCTCCCTGCTGCTGCTCTGTCGGCTTGAAGACACCCGAGCTTATCTGCTGTACAAGCCACGCTGTGCGGCGGGAAGGCCAAGGACCCCCCCGGGGGGGTGGGGGGTGGGGGGGGGCTGGGGGCGGCCCGGCCATCCCCGCACCCGCACCTCTGCCATGTTGCCCGCAGCCGGAACGTGTGGCTCACTCACAGTGACTCTGACAGGCCAGGCCGCTTATCTGAGGATTCTGGGTTGACTTCGATTTCGTGATCATGAATTCCACTCCTTTAAGGCTAGGTTGGCTTACAGAGTTTAATGTTTAATACTGTTAACATCCTCTAGCCAACTGAACACCAAGTGTATCAATAAATATCAATAATTAGCTCTGTCTCACGTCCTCTTTCTGCTGGAGCATTTTGGCTTTATAAATACACTCCAGTCTTAGTGCCCACGCCCCATAAGGGTTTAAAGCTCCACAGAAAGAGCGCATGGATGGGTCTCTCACATCTTGAGGGATGTTCCTGAAGTCTAAAAGAAAACTACAAAATGAGCGGAAGAACAGGTCGCCGGTGGGTTAGTGGGGGGCGGTTACTAGAGGAAAACAACGGTTTGCTGGGGCCCTGGAGGCCAACTGGGCAGTTAGTCAGAAATGACTGCGACCACGGCGGGGGGTGAAGGTTGCGCTCACAGAGGGCTTTCGGCCATCCTTCTCTTGGCCTGAAGGTAGACGATGCGGTTTTCTTCAGGATAAGTGACTTTACTGAGGGGGATCTTGTAGATGTTGGGGTTTTTTGTGTGCAGCAGGAGGAACAGCAGTGTGCCCAAGCAGAAGGGCCAGGTACAACAGGACACTCCAATCTGGGGAGAAAGAGACAAGCCACGTGCTTTTGAGATCCGGTCAGAAAGCTAATCCTCACGAAGCGTCCCCTGTCACTCTGTCCTCAGCCCGCCAGGGGGATGAGCCACTGCCCCGGACCCTGCTTCTGCCCCTGGAGCCTGAGTCTGAGATCTCAGGGCATTTAGCAGTGGGGGTGTCATCATCCGTTCTTTAAGGCGGTTGGTTATGTTTCTATCTTGTGTGTCTTCCTTTCCTCTCATACATTCAGGTTCCTACACCAGACGTGCAAAGGTGATACTTGGCACACAGAGCTGACACTCAGCAAACCACCAGTGGCCCCTGACCACTCATCACACCCACAAGGCCTTCTTTGACTTGTTGGGCCCACAGTGACCTCTCTCCCTGCCTTTCACTCAAACTAGGTCTTGGACTCCACGTGCTTCACTGCTTTCCACTCTGTTTCCCAAACAGGCTCTAAGCAACTCGAGGGTACGACTTTCTTCTGTGCTATGCCCGTGACCGTGCGGTTCTGCACATGCACCATGTGCTGGGCGAGGCCTGGCCCTCTGCGAGGACCCTGGGGTGCGATGGTGCCCGAACCTGACTGCACGTCAGAATCGATTCTCTGGGGACAGGGTTGAAAAACACAGGTGCCCAAGCACCTATCAGTAAACGCCAAGGGACAGGGCCTAAGGATCTGTACTTTTGAAAATCCCCCTAGCTCACCCTGCTGTGCAGCCTGCCCACTCTGGTCCATGGACTGATGTCTGGGACCTTTTGTTGGGACGCAAGGGGCCCCACGATGCTCTAGTATACTGCCTGTCGTGCCTGTAATGGTGGTTCGACTTTTTGCCAGGAAGACACAGATCCTGTGTCTCCAGAGAACTCTCCCAGATAATCACTCTATGCTGCTGCTGAGAGGAGTGTCTTGACCCGCTGGCAGCCATGACCACATCCGCATGGGCGGAGCTGTCGGAACTGGCTCCGTGTCACCTGCGTGGTGGGTGAAGAGGAGAGGAAGTCCAGGGCCCTGGCAGGTGGGGGATCCTGGAACAAGTCGTACGAGGTTCCTCCTACTATGAGGGAGGAAAGGTCCAAGGGCTGGAGAGTGCTGAGAAAGGGTGGCAGGGTACACTTAATGGGCAATGATTTTGCGTATTAAATAATTCAGCCAGGACACGGGTCTAAACAAGTCCTATTGATGGCTGACTGGGATTTTAAAATGACAAAGGGTATGTCAACGATTGGCTTGATTAAAAAACATGGGCCCTGGCTGGTATGGCTCAGTGTGTTGAGCACCGGCCGGTGAACCAAAGGGTCACCAGTTCGACTCCCAGTCAGGCCACGTGGCTGGGTTGTGGGCCAGGTCCCCAGTAGGGGACGCATGAGAGGCAACCACACACTGCTGTTTCTCTCCCTTTCTTTCTCCCTCCCTCCCCCTCCTCTAAAAATAGATAAATAAAATCTTTAAAAAAGTGGTTTTTGGACAATTATTTTTTCTCTCCCTTTCCCACTTTCTCAACTCCTACATAGTTCTAGCTTTGTGTTTAAGTAAAAAATACTCTAAAGTTAACTTCCTGATACTCAGCTAGAGTGTAGATTTGATAATATATTATACAACCTAAGTTTCACTTCTTCCAAGCAAGCAATCTGGTATTCTTAACAAGCCCGGTGATGGTAATTTGGACTCAAATGTACGGTGATGCTGGAAGGTGAGTGAGGACAGGACAGGTGCGAGCACAGGGAAAGTGGTGGCTGTCACGGTCATGGATCCGGCCAGGGACGCCACCCGTGTGGACTTCAGGGGCGTTATCCTCATCCCCGAAAACCGACCAATCATGCTGAAGACAAGGCGAGGTCAGAGCGAACTCACCACGGTCATCATGTTCGACATGCTGCCTCTGAGGTAGGCCGTGAACAGGGCTGCAAGGAAAGAGGACAGAACAGTGCTTGGTGGGTTTCACTCCAGCACGGAAGGACTGCCTTCCGGCATAAATGACCTGGAACGTAAATGTTCCCGTTTTGGCAGCTGGCCCGGTACCCCGGGTACAAGTGTGAGTTCAGAGTCAGCAGCTTTGGGTTCAAATCCAGACGCCACCACTTAGGTGCTTGGTGGCCTCTCTGAGCCTCCATTTCCTCACATGCTGGTGGGAGAGACTCATCTTTGGAAACAGTCCTGACTTCAAATCCCAGCTCTGCCATTTTGTCATACAAGAAATCACTGAACTTCTCAGAACCTAGCTGCATCGTCTGTAAAAAGGCAACTTGGAGACGTGCTTTACAAGGAGGTGGTGAATCCCAAATGAAGTGATGTGTTCCCACAACAGCAGCGGTCTGCTCGACCCTGTCACCATGGGACTGAGGTGCTGCTCTGAGCGGAAGGGTGCAGCAGCCCGTGTTGAAGGGGTTTTCTTGTGTTTTGATACCTATTGCATTTCTAAGGCACAGTCTTGGTGCTCAAGTCTCAGGCTGCTACACTGTTGCAAAGTGATCTCCAGTTGCAGGTGGCCTTTCTCTCCACAGCAGGTGTGTCAGACTATCTAACAACACAGCTGCCCATCAGTTCAGCCTTGCTGAGGGGGACTGGGAAAGCCGTTGTCAGAAGTGAAAGTCCGCACAGGATGGTGCGCAGGTGACCTCCCGACAGCGCTCTGGATAGCGGAGGGAGAGAAAGGGCCCTTGAGTGCCGAGGGCAACACTGGGTTTCTGCTTTTCATAGACAATGTCCCTCCCAGCGGAGTCCTACTACGATACCTTGGCCATGCAAGAGATATAAAATGTGCTTACAGTTTGCACTGATAAACAACAGCACCGAAGAATTCCCTGGCCCTACAGTTTCTGGGTTAGAGATAGGGAAGGCGGCATTGCCAGGCCCATCGGAGTTTGCCAAGTCTTCTTTCCTGATCCAGCCACACGGAGCAGCACCTCTGTGATCAATGCCTGCTGTGTGTTTACCTTGGCCGACAGGGCTGGTTTTGTTTGAGAGTATCCGGGGGGTGCGGGGTGCGGGCAAGCTGAATCTTGCTGTGGCATTTGACATGTGATGTTTGCTTTCCAAGAGGGGCTGGAAGCCTCTCTCAAAACTCGATGTCTAAAATGAAAAACCCTGATAGCACCCAGTGTGGATGAAACGGACACTCTTACACTGCTGGGGGCAGGGAAATTAATATGGCCTCTGTGGGGTGGATTTGGCATCTATTAAAACCAGAAGTGGCAGAGCTGGAATTTTGGTACCAGGATCAGGGCCCTTAACTGCCCTAACTATTATGCTAAACTAGGAAAGACAGTCTGATCTACTCAAGGGAAGGCAGGTGTGGTAGGCAGAGTAAAGGTCCCCAAAGATGCCTGCGTCCTAATCCCCAGAACTGGTAATGCATTACCTGACATGGCAAAAGGGACCTAGCAGTGGCAACTAAGTTAGAAATCCTGAGATGGGAGATCATCCTGGGTCATTCAAGCAGACCCAATATAATCATAGGGTCCTTATAAGAGGGAGCCAACAAATTCTATCCTCCTTATAAGAGGGAATAGCAATCTGCTTTATCCTCTTCTGTATTGACTGAATTTTTGTTTTTTGTTCAATAAGCCAGTACTACTTCTCTGATAAAGTAATGAAGGTATTTCTGCTTTGGGGAAATACATCCGGTGACAGCTTTGACTTCCTCCCTGTCCATGGTCTGTCAAGACATCATCAACAGCTCTTGCGACCGAAACAGTTTCTGCTTGATCTTCAAGGGTGAGGCTGTGGCCGTGGCCCAGACCACCCTTCCACCACTGAGAATGTCTCCTCTCAATTTTTAAGACTTGTGGACGAGCCAGCTACTCTAGGAGCAGCTCCTGGATGGTTCTGAACTGTAGTGTTCCCCCAAGTGTCTTGGACTGTAGTCTCCTTGTTATGTTGTAAACGTCTGCTGGTCTCCCGCGGGCTCCCTCTCCCACTCACCTGGCCTCTGCCCTGAGCTACACCTCCCTGTGTGCAGGAACCACCAGGGAACTCAATCCCTAACTCTCACTAGTACTGAGTGTTGAATATGTGTTTGCTGCTGCTGCCAACATAGAAAAATAAAGGTGTGCACTCCAGCAAGGGTCTGAAACCTCCAACTAACCTCAGAATGAAGATTCTAACCCAGCTGAGCTCAGGTGACCATACAATCTCTTGTAGCCTTCTCTTCTGCCCTACGCTTATGAACCAATATGGGAGAATGAGCAAAAAGTTTTGGCAAGGTTATTAGGGGAAATAGCTGTGCAATTACAAAGAAATTGGGAAAATGACATACAAGTAGCCACCTGAGTTTTGTTATCCTTGCCACAGCACTGGGAAGTGAAAATTGATTGAGGCCTTAGAAATCCTTGGTCTCACCCCACACCCTGCCCAATACAGGAATCTATTCTAAATCCCGCCCGATGAGGGATCCACAATTTTAGTAGCGACTTAGATACCTTGGATTGCCCAATCGGGTGTTACACTGATGCTACACAAATATTTCTATCAGATCTGGAGTGATTTCTGCACATTCCACTACCTCTCCACCCCTCTATCCCCCAGGGAGCCTCACTCCCTTCAGTCTAGCACACTAGCTCAAGTCCTTTCCTTTACCAGGACTGGATGAGGAGTGTGTGGCTCTGGGAAGCTAAGCACCCCTTACGACGGTCGGGGAAGTCCTTAGCTTTTCAAATCCAAACCACTTGCTGTCTGTTTTCACCTGAGGCCTGGAGGCTACTCAAGGGAAGCAGGGCAGTGTAGTGGGCGTAACTCTTCAGGCTGTTGGTAAATGTGGACTCTGGGTTTGCAGTTACCCACACCTCATGGGATGCCCTTTGGCCTAAGCGCCCCAACAGTAAAGGGAGAAGGTTGGAGTGGAGCTCTCCAGAACCCCTTCTAGCTTGGACTGGCTGAGTCTGGCTAGAAAACAGGGGTCAGAAAGGCTTAATATGCCAGTTCACAAAATGTGGTCCCCCCTCCCAGCAACGCCCCACCTCACACTCCTGGCTAGAAATGCAAACTGCTGCCCTGGCTGGTGTAGCTCAGTGGATTGAGTGCCTGCTTGCTTGTGAACAAAAGGGTCCCCAATTTGATTCCCAGTCAGGGCACATGCCTGCGTTGCAGGCCAGGTTCCCAGTAGGGGGTACTCGAGAGGCAACCACACATTGATGTTTCTCTCTCTCTCCCTTCCCCTCTCTCTATAAATAAATAAACAAATTTTTGGGGAAAAAAAAAAAAGAAATGCTAACTCCTTCCTCCACCTCTAACAATGAATTCGGGTCTGAGGGTGGGCCTAGCAGTCTGCATTTTAACACACCTTCCAGGTAATTCTGATGCACCCTCAGGCCTGAGAAGGGCTGGACTGATGTGATTCTCAAAGGGCCTGGGCACAAAATTCTACCTGATTCACCAGGGGACATGGCCCTGTACTTAGCTTATTTCCTTTTAGTTTCTTGGGTCAAATGATTAGTGCGAAGAACACAAGTTGAGTTTCTCTCCTCCAACATACACATATTGTACAGTGGGTAGTGGGACTCAACAGGCTCTCCCGTCTCAACAACCACCGGGCTAGGCAGAGCCGACCTGAAAACTCCCAGAGAGGGGATGTCACTTGCCCTGGCCACACACTTAGACAGCACGGGTCCCAAACTGGAACCCCGGCCCTAGTTTCTCATGTAGCCCTTTTCTGCTGTTTGTCCTGGATTTTGATCCCGCAATCATGAGCAACCCTCCCTGCAGATGCACGAGATACTCACCACAGGCAAGAGCCAGGAGGTGGGTTTGCCAGGTGAGCGCCATGAACATTCCTCCAATCGCAATGCAGGCCAGAGAGCTGTTGTAACCCCAGAGTCCAAAGTAGATGTCCTTAAATGGAGCCGAAAGACTGAGTGCTGTTGGATAAGACGGGAGGAGTCAGAGCAGCGATGGAGGAAAGGCAGGATGCTGGGGAAGGGGTCTGGGGCTGTGGAAGCAACTACAACTGCTATTGGCCCCCTGGGAGCAGAGACCTCACGAACAGTCTGGAGCACAGGAGATGGCTGAAGCAATGCACGGGGCGCAGGAGGTGCTCCCGGTGCCCGCTTACCTGCTGCTGTGCCCACCAGCGATCCCACTGCAGCGTGCAGGCACATGAGCGGGGAGGAAAGCAGGATGGCGCCCAGGAAAATGAGCCCTGTCCACAGGTTGTCACAACCGTATATCTGGCCAACACCCACAGGCAGGGATTTCAATAACTGCAAAGATAATTCAGGAAATAAAGTCGTTAAGACAACTGGACAGAAACCCATAGGACACCCACAAGCACATACAAAGTAATTTTAGATTTAGCATATCTCATCTTTTGAGATCAGTGTTATTACTTTTAAAAATTCTCTCTCTCTTTGCAGAAAAATCTTTGTCATTTTTCTGCCTTATCCCCAGAGGCACACCGGCCCCTCCCTGGTGCACACAGAGCCCTCCTTCTCAGAACTCCCCCTTCCCTCCCTGGTTCCCCTGTTTGCACGGACATTTGAACTTGTAACAGCTAGAGATTGACCCACAGCCTTTGGTAGATGGGACAATGCTCAAACCAACTGAGCTACCTGGCCAGGGCACAAGTGGTCATTCTTTCTAATAACACTTCTGGTAGGGCCAAGATAGGCACAATTAGTCATGTTAGTTCCCTTATGGCCAAGGCCATTTACTGCAAGATGCCTTCCGCCCTGGCTGGGGGACTTGGTTGGAGCATCGTCCCATACATCAAAAGGCTGTGGGTTCGATTCCTGGTCAGGGCACATACCTAGGTTGTGGGTGTGATCCCTGGTCAGGGTGTGTACAGGAGGCAACTGATAGATGTCTCTCTCACTCCATCCCTCTCTTTCTAAAATCAATAGATATATTGATCCTCGGGTAATGATTGGAAAAAAAATGATGCCTCCCTGAGGTCATAGGTGAGCCTTTCATAAGGACCTTCAGGGGGCAGCGACTCTGATCTGACACTGGGACTCCCGGTTTTGGCAGGAGGGAGTGACCTTCATGCATTAGGCTGGATGTGGTGCTGGCTTCCAAACGCTGGTCTGGTCCTTGCTCAGTGCTCAGAACCATATACTTTGAGTTTGATTCTACCCTAAGATGGACCCTAAATTCTTCTAGCCCATCCTGGATTTTCATGTCTACACAAGATCATTTCCTGTTTCTTCTAGATGAGAGAACGTGGCACAGGAATACCCAGCAGAACTATCCCTCAGGTAGCCAGGGAGGTGGGGTGTTGGGTGAGATGGGGAAATAAGTGTGGACACTGAGGTGGAAGTTCGGAGGAAGGGGAAGGCCAAGACCCCCACATCCCTAGGTCAGCACTGTGCAACAGAACTTTCCATGACCTTGGAATATTCTACATCTTTGCTGCCTAACACATGTGGCTATTGAGCACCTGAAATGTGGCTAGTGAGGCTAAGGAACAAAATTGTAAATTTTAATTTTAATTTTATATTTAAATTAAAACAGTCACATAGGGCTAACAGCTACTGTATTAAAGGATGCAATTTGAGTTTGATCAATAAATACTATTTTACAATGTCATTTTTCATGAGGAATTATAATAAATTTTTGATTTTCCTTCTGAGTTATTTCCAAAAACTCCCATTCATTTTCTGGGCAAGAAGCTGAAGATAAGACTACTTGAGCCTCTCACATATTTTGATTGCTCAGCACACAGGACAGCAAAAGCTGTTTTATAACCTGGTAGTGGGAAAGCTGGTCTTTTGCACAGGAGAAAAAGCTAAGATTTCATTGGTTTTCTTCTGATTTCAAGTGCTCTCTTGTTTTTAATAATCAGGAGACTTTAGGGAGACTTATTAAATGAACAGCAATGGGAAGAGCTGGAACTTGATTTGGGTTAACCTGGTATTTAAAAATGGTGTCCCCTGTAAATGGTGTGCATCTATAAAGACATACGTAGTATACAGCCTATGACAGTGGTTCTCAGACTCTGGCCCACATTACAAGTATTTGGGGAGCTTGTTAATACAGGTTTCCGGGCCCCATCTCCAGCAATTACGATGAAGGGACTCTGAGATGGTGTTTATATTGGTACTTAAGAAACAATGATTCTGATTCCCACCGAAGCTTGAGGCCCTGAACTATTGTACCTATTCTGTGAGACTGACCATAAGAAAAGCAGAACGGAGAGGTTCTGTGGTGGATATAACACTAAGCAGCCAGTTCTTTTGGTTGGAGGAGGCAGGTTACGGAGAACTTAGCCCCAGGCTGGAGGTCCCTCTGCATCAATGGCTGGCCCCCATCACATCTGCCCAAACAAGGACCAAGTTTGCAATAAAGCATCTGGTTTCCAATGGAGCTATACTGTGGAATTAGCACTACAGATCTTAGGTACAGAGGGGGGAAGTTAGCTTTGACCAAACCGTCACTTTAAAAAAAAAACCCTTAGAGCCCAGAACTTTGGGGCAGAACAAATGTGTGGGCTGGTAAAATGAGGACAGCAAGGCCTCCCTAGAGGTGAGTCTCTGAAAGGCTCTGATGCCCACGGATGACTAACCATGGGGGGCACTGGGTGTCTTCTGGAGGTGGGGGCAATGGGAAGGAATAGAGTACCTTACCTGCAGGGCATTGAGTTCAGACCAGGTGACGTTGGGAACCGAGGTTTCAGGTGTGATCAAGGTGGTTGGGAAGAATGGGTTGTAATGTCCCGTGGCTGAAAGGTACAGGGTTATCGCCATGTTGAAGGGCAGGGTGAAGACAGGCAGTTCCCATTTGGTGAACACGGAGTTCAACCCACTTGAGAAAAGTGGACTAAAAACAACGACAGAACAGAATGGAGAAATATGCGTGCGACAGCCATGTTGACAAACCGAATCTCTATGCTACGGAAGGCCTTTGCTTCATTGTAAAACATGCCCCTAAAGTGCTGTGTTGGAAACTTTTTCACAGAAACAAACAAACAAAATTCAAACATACGAGGGATAAATCCTATCATAGACTAGTTCTTACATTAAGTCAAAAAATCAACTCTGTTTATTTGGCTTTTGAAAACTTATACCTGGGGTTGCTCACAGTGAGCTGTAAGTCTAGGTTTCAAAAATATTTTTCTAGCATTTAAGGCATATGAAATAAAACATCTGCACAGTTAAAGCCACCCCCCCCCCCACCAGGGGTAACCACATTCTTGAACTTGTCTATCATCTGCACAAGACTTTAGTATATGTCTTCTTGAAAAAGATAAACAACTATCTCAGGAATAACTGCAGGTGACGTGTGCTGGATGAGACAGGTCCTCAACTCAGGGGGCAGTGTTTGAAGTCCTCGAGCAGTTGACAGCTGTGTGACCTTGGGTGAGGCACTGCTCCTCAGCTTCCCCGTCTGTAAACTGGGGGATTGGATTTGTGGGTCTCTGGGACCCTTTTACGTGCTCACTTGTTGACATTATCAAAGGGCGATCACTTTAAGATCAGAACTCCACATTCATGGGCTGTGGGAGGTGGTGTGGTAAGCATTCCCAGGCAGTGACTCCTGACCTTGAACCTGTTCTTCCGAGCAGGCCGGAAGTTACCTCCTGTGCAGGCTGGCTCTGCTGGCAGGTTCTCCCCAGACACCTGCAGTTGCAGCCAGAGGGGGTGGCTTTCCTGCAAACACTGTCCACGGTGGGCTTTACTTCTCATTTGTGTGGGTATTAGTGTTTTATATTCTAAATACGGTACAGTAAGAAGGAAATGTTTGTTTCTGAAAAAGGATTTAAGATATTATCAACATAGAAACTAGTTTGAGGAATTCAGGGTTTTTTTTTTTAAAAAAAGGAATTGAATTCAGGAAAGAAATCTTTTCTCACTCTGCCATGCTGCTGACATCACTCCTCAGTAAGAGTGTTTTTAAGGGGAGTTCCTAGAGGCACAGAGATGCTTAAAGTGGGGTCCCTGGACTGGCTGCATCAGTGGTGTCCAGGCTCTTGTTAGAAATGCAAATTCTCGGGCTCCATCCAAGAGGAACTTAGTCAGAAACTCCGGGGAGGGAGCAGCAGTCATTTCAAGCCGCCCTGCAGGTGGTTCTGACAGAGCGCAGGTTTGAGGACCACTGACATAGTGAAAGGTTCTCGACTTTGGTTGTACTTTAGGACCTTCCGGGGGTCTTTAAAACTCCCAACGCCCAGGCCCTGGCCAGTGTGGCTCAGTTGGTTGGAGCATTGTCCTGTACACCAAAAGTCTGCGGGTTCGATTCCCGGTCAGGCCACATACCTAGGTTGCGAGGTCAACCCCTGGGTGGGGAGCCTATGAGAAGCAACCAACTAATTCTCTCTCACGTCCATGTTATTTTCTCTCCCCTCCCCCTCTTTCTAAGCAAGTAATGAAAAATGTCCTTGGGTGAGTATTTAAAAAAACAAACAAACAAACCCAAAACCCTCCCAAGGCCCAGGCAACAACCCCAACCAAGACCAATTACAAGAGAATCTTGGGGAGGTGGTATGAAGGGCCAGGCGCATCGGTGTATTTTAATGTTTCCTTTTCCAATAGACATAAATTGAATCTAAAATTGAAAAAATTCTCACTCTCCCTCCCGGGGGCATGCCGTGCCATTCCCCTTTCCCTTCCCCCAGGCACGTCACCATCGCCTCCCTGCCCCACCCCCCCTCACTAGGGTCCAAAGGCCCTTCTCTTGCCTCTGTAACTCCTTTCCTGAGCCCCTTCCTTCTGCCTCTCCTGTCTTCCACCTCTGTGACTTTCTAAGTCAACCAGTCCCTTCTAGTTTGAAAAAAATAAGAAGAAAAACATTATTTCTCTTCAAGTTGTATTCTATACATAATCTGAAATTTACCAGCTAACCAGTGTAAAGTGTGCAGTTCAGCAGCACTAAGTACATTCTCACTGCTGTACAGCCATCACCACCACCCCTTCTCAGAGCATTGCTCATCTTGCAGAACTGAGACCCTGCCCCCATTAAGAAGAAACTGTCCATCCCTCCTGCCCCCGACTACAGATGTTTTTAGAAAGCATTTTGAAGACCGGGTACAACTTACCAAGTCATGGACAAAACACATACGGGGAATAACAGCCACCAGAAATAGTCTCCCTTGTCTGAAAAGACAGCCATGAGTATTCCCACGAGGGTGGCGTTGTAGCCGTGCATTCCTGCTGCAATTGCTGACCTGTGGGCAACAGACACAGCATGGGCATTTCCTGGGTGGACGCTGGCCGGACTTGCGTGCTAATGACATTTATGAAATTCCAGATCATATTCACATTTGAAAATGAGATATTTGGAAATTTATTTCAAAGTCTATAGAAGCCAAATACTAACAAAAACATAGAAAAATAAAATATACACAGAAAAAATACAAATGTGCCCACAGGGCAGCCCTCTGCAGAGACATCCTGGCTGAAGACAGAATTCCAGCATCTAGGGGAGAAAGAGAAACCAGCAAGGGAATTGGTTGTTTCCTTTTAGCCTTTCCTTCGGGAAGCGATTATTTCTTTTAAATCATTAAGAGCCTCTGACTCAAATAAAGCTTTTAGATGAAACTGTTCCCAAAGTTTGGTTTTCTTGGTGAGAGATGTAAGAGCCTTGAAATGTAAATTCACTTTCATAGTGTCTTTGATCTTATGAACATTAACCTTCCAACTGAGCATGTATTGCGTCTTCCTGTGCTTCCATTCTGTTGTCTCTAGATATACATTTCCAAGTTATTGCAAAGAAAAACAATTACTTTTCTTTAACTTGGCAAACTACTCCATTGAATTTGGTGCGTATTTAGCACCTAATTCTTGAGTTCCTTTTTGCTTCTCGGCACTTAACCTCACCTCCTGCCCCACTCCCCCATTGGAAACCATATTGTACTTTCCCCCTTACTATCATTACCTATTATGGGAAAGGTTGTGTAGATGCCTGTCGTGACATAGTCTGGCCCCTGTGGCTGCCTCTTGTGATACCAGCTGCTTCTCGTGATTGCTCCTGGCTGGGCAGCTGTCCCTTGAGACAGTGGCTGCCTCTTGCGATAAAGTCTTCCTCTTATGACAGTGGTTGCCTCTGGCAATAGTGGCTGCCTCTCTCAGTAGTAGCTGCCTGTCCCGATAATGTCTTGCTGTTGCGGTAGAAGCTAACTCTCTCGATAGTAGGTGCCTGTTGTGACAGTGGCTGCCTCTCCCGACAGCAGAGGCCTGTCGTGGAAGTGGCTGCCTGTTGTGGTGGTGTCTTCCTCTCGTGACAGTGACCGCCTGTTGTGGTGGTGCCCTCTCACAACTGTGGTTGCCTTTGGAGATCATGGCTGCCTCTCGCAATTGTAGCTGCCTGTCATGATAGTGTCTTTGTCTCCTGAGAGTGGCTGCATGTTGCGCTAGCATCTTCCTCTGGCGATAGGGGTTGCCCCTCACGACAGTGAATGCCTCTTGTGGTAGTAACTGCCTTTCAATATAGTAATTGCCTGTCGTGATGGACACCACTTCTTGCGATAGTAGTTGCCTGTCGTGATAGTGCCCTCCTGTCGTGATAGAGACAACCTCTCGTGACAGTAGTTGCCTTTTGAGATAGCGACTGCCTCTCATGATTCTGGCTGCCTGCTGCGACACTGGCTGCCTCTCGCAATAGTGGCCACCTCTCGAGATAGTGACTGCCTCTTGCCATCCTGGCTGACTCTTGCAATACTGGTCGCCTCTCATGACAGCGTCTTCCTCTTGTGGAACTTCCTGCCTCTCACAGTAGTGGCTGCCTGTCATGATTCTGGCTGCTTGTCGTGATACTGGCTGCCTCTTGCAATACTGGCTGCCTCTCCTGACAGTGTCTTCCTCTCGTGATGCTGGCTGCCTGTCATGGTAGTGGCTGTGTCTTGTGATAGTGGTTGCTTCTTGCAATAGTGCCTTCTTGTTGTCATAGGGGACTCCTGTTGCCGTAGTGTCTGTCTGCTGCGGCAGTGTCCGCCTCTTGTGACAGTGGTTGCCTCTTGTGATACTGGATGCCTGTGGTGGTAATGGCTGCCTCTCCTGGCAGTTGCTGTTTCTTGTGACAGTGCCTGGCCGGGCAGCCACCTCTTCAGATAGCAGCTGCCTCTCGTGTGAGTGCCTGGCAGGGAAGTGGCCTTTCGTGATAGTAGCTGCCTGCTGCGGTATTGCCCGGCCAGGAAGTTGAGTCTGGTGGTAGTAGCTGCCTATTGTGATATTGCCCAGCTGGGGAGCTGTCTGTTGCAGTAGTAGCTGCCTGTTGCAATATACCTCAGCCAGGGGGCTGCCTGTCGTGATATTATTCGGCCCAGCAGTTGCCTGTCCTGTTATTGTCCTGTAGATGAAAAAGGGGCCACATGCTAAACCTGCTGAGCTCAGGGGAGGCCCGCATGGCGGCCTTACAAACACAGAGAACTAAAGCAACCACAGGGTCTGGAATTACAACTTTCTAATGAAAAGTGAGTCATGACGTGTAGTCCTGTGCTGGGCTGGTATCATCCTGGACAAAGGCCAATCATTACCTTATCTGAGCCTATTGTCTTTTTGCATCTAGGATAACATACCCTCAGAAGGTCAGGGTAACTTCCCTTTTCCAGAGCTCTCAGGGCGCAAACACTGCACCAGAGCAGAGGGCACAGATCCCCTCCTCGTTGTCATTATCACGTTAGTTGTTAACTGTTAACTACCCTACACCCACCTAGTAGAAGTGTGTGTCTGTGCATCTTACTTTTTATCCAGCCCCAGAGGTTCACCCACTTTGCTTTCTTGCATCTTCCTGACCCATCACCAAAGGACTTCATGTAACCCCCTTACGCCTTCCCCTTTGATTCTGATGTATAAAAAAAGTGGTAAAACTGCCATTTTCTGAAGATTTTCTCAATGCCTTGAGATTTGGCTTCCCAGCAATGGTCAGTTTGGCACACACACAAAAAACCTCATAAAAGTTCTTAGAGGTTTGGACGTTTCTTATGTTGAGAGTCTGGTCTGGCCCCATAGCTGGATTCTAAGAGAATGTTATGTTTAATCGAATGTATTGAGTGACATTGGTTAATAAAATGATATAGATTTCAGGTGTACAAGTCTATAACACATCATCTGTGTATTATACTGTACGTTTACCAGCCCAGGTCACGTCTCTTTCCATCACCCCTTATCCCCACTTGACCCTCTCCCCACCCTCACCTCCCTTTGGTAACAACCATACCATCGTCTGGCTGTGAGGGTTTCTTTTTCTTTCTTAATCCCTTTATCTTTTTCACCTAGCCCCCTCCCCCCACCCCTCTGACAGCCAAGAATCTTTCTATTTCATTTGTTAGTTTATTCTCTTCATTAGACTCCACAGATAAGTGAAATCACGTGGTACCTGTCCCCCTCTGACTGGCCCACCCCACCCAGCTCAGTCCTCCTCTCCCGGCCCATTCGTGCCTCCGCAAAAGGCAAGGTCTCCTTCTCTTCCACTGCCGAGCAGCATTCCTTCGTGTGAACGCACCACAGCTTTTCTTATCCACCTATCTACTGATGGGCACTTGCTAACCTCACTTCTGGAAACGGTCTTATGGGTCATAAACTGTCTTACTCCTGGTCAAAACGGTTCCCATGTTATAATTGGGAAATAGAAGCTATTGGCAACATCTGGCACCATGAAAGGCCCAGCATTGAAGGTCGAATAGGGCCACAGGTGTGATCAGGCAGGGCCCGATGGATAGGCGATGCAGCCAGTGGTAGAGGACGGCACGAGAGCGCCTTCTCAGCTTATTTTTAAGTGGAGCCGGAGGCACCAGTGCGTCAGCAAGATGATGTCACTCTGAGTGACAGCATTAGAAGAAGGACTCCCTGTTCAAAAGTCCTTCGACTGCATTTAATAATCCTGCAGGCCATGTGGGAGGTGATGCAACTTGAATCGGTTTAACTCAGGAAGTGATAATGCCCTCCGGAAACTGAGACTAAACATGATGACAGTGGAGAGCATTATGCAAAGACTTTTATCAACTGGCTTTCCGAATTAATGCTTGAGTTTGGTCAACAAATGTAATGGCAATGTCTACAGGTGTGGAACACCATGGTTAAAGCAACAAGAAGATGTGCTTTCACTAAAAGCAGAGGATCGCTGTTTTAATGAGCTCCTTCTAGGACCAAGGAAAAGAAAAGCATTTTATAGACTAGCATGTGTGAATATGGCTGATCTTCTAAAATATACCTAATTTAAAAAAATGGGTCAGCTTTCACTGGAGCAAAGCAATGAAGGAATATTTGATGTGGCGCAATCCTGAACAACACGTCCAATGTGGAAAAGCCATTTCTTGGAACACACCAGAACACGGTTCAACCTGAGATGCCAATCACCCTCTACAGAGAACAAATCAGGCTCCTCTGACCTGATGCAAAAGTGGAACATTTGCTGACTCTCTCCCCAAGCATCTCAGACAATTCACAGGAAGAGTTACAAGAGCTTAGTTGTGTAATGACAATCCACTGGGGATTATGCATTGACCTTGAACACCTGGAAGACTGGCAGCCTCCCTGAAGGAACTGGTTAGCCAGGAGCGTTCTATACACCAGGTGGGAGTCAGCTTATCACTTCTTCTAACATTTCAATCACCCTGAATTCGGTAGTTTTACTGTAAGATGAGACTGAGACTGCTCATCAAGGTTACCATGTATTAATATATTTTCAAATTGCACAAATTCCTTATATTTATTACTATTTAAAATACCATAAAGCATTTTGGCCACTTGACAGATCTATTCAGAAAGTAGATGCTATCTCTAACCCAGCACAGAGTTCAGAAGATATCCTAACACGACTTCAGTCAGAGCTTGCTCACTCGGAATTTGTGGTTACTCATCTCTTCAAAAGCTGAGCAGGATAGATTTCCTGAACAAACCGTGGAATCAAGGTATAAAGGGGATTATTAAGCCAATAAGACTTTTCATGAACTCATGCATTTTTGCTCAAACAAAACAAAATGCTGATGATAAATAATTCATCAATTATTAAAGAAGATCCCTTTAGAATCTCTCCCTGGGATCTACTTGTAGCCTAGTTCTGGTTACCATGTACAGCTATGAGAATCTGGCATTGTTCAGACTAGCTACATATTCAGGTACCATGAATAAATGATACCCGTACCTTCCAGGAAGAGCAAACAGAAGAAGTTCTGTGGAATAAAGGTTGTCTCTCCTTGGAAGGGTGGGGCTCTATTAGGGCTTCCCAAAGTCACCGGTTGGCTCCTGTGTCCTCAGAAGTGAGAAAAACAGCTGGACGGGTGCACCTACCTGTCCTGGCTGAGCACCAGCGCTGTCAGGGTGGAGACCACTGTTCCTACAAAGCCCGTGAGAGCCCACCAGGGGTTCTGGACCAGGAGTCCGACCAGAATCAGGATCCCGCTGATGGGGTTGCTGACGAACACCACTTGGGACAGGCCCCGAAGGACCCAGTCGATGAACTGGAGCACCAGGGGTTTGTCTGTGAGAGATGAGGTGGGCAGAGCTGAGAAAGCAGCCGGGCGTCTCTTCCCAAGTTTAGGGCCCTCTGGAGCAGAATCCTCAAAATCCCCTCTGATAAAGGCAAACCCCATTTCTGGTATCCTTTGAACACTTTCCCCTTCAGTGGCACCCAGATCCCTAAAAGCATCCAGTTTCTTTGTGCTCAGCCCACACTGCCCCTACTAGAACCTCAGCCCCAGGAAGCATCCAATGCACTTCCTTACTGTGCTTGGAGACACACACTTGGAAGCCAAAGGGATAAATCACCAGTAGTAAGATTTCAGATGTTAGGTACTGAAACTATAAAGTGGAGCCAGTTGCCTTCCTCTGATGTGAGCAGGACCCTGGCCCTGACCACTATCTCCATAAAAAAAAAAATGTTTGAAGAGGCTTGCAATTTTGGAGATAAAAAAAAGTAAAACATGGAAAGAGATGGAAAGTTAGGTGAATGTAACTAAAAATATGAGTAGAAGAACCGAAACGGGGTGCAAAGCGAAAGAACCCTGCTATAGAGTGAGTTCCCCAGCAGTTAAGATACTTTTCATAACAATGGCAAGCTGATGCCTGCTAATAGGTGTGTTACTGTCCTGGGGCAAAAGATGTGTACTGACTTTCAGAATGTATCCTGGCTTGTGACATAGCCAGGGAGGGGGTTCCCTAGGTCACTGAGTTACACTTGACCCGACTGAAGGTGGCAGCTAAGAGAATGTAAATGATACAGGAAACCAGCAAATGTAGCTCATGGTAGGCGGGGCTGGAGATGAGGCCACACAGGAAGCTCTGAGTCAGGATTTAAACTAAGGGTGGGCAGAGAGAAGAGGCCGGCCTGCCCTCAAGCTGAGAGAGGAGGTAGCCACTGTGCTGGTCTGCGGTGAAGAGGGCAGCCATGTGAGAGATTGAGCCAGGCTGCCAGAAGTGAGAGAGGAGCCATGGGGGCAGAGTGAGTGTAGAGGAGAAAGAGCCATGACGCAGCAGCCAGGCAGTCTGCAGTCAGGACCCGGCCATGGGCCTGGGGCCATAGGGGAGAGAACTGCATGCTGCTGCTCTGATCGGCCCACGGTAGCTGACTCAGAGGCTAGCAAGGACCCTGCCTTGCAAGATACTGACCTGCTGCCTCGCAGACCTGGACTCTACCTGGACCCCTGGGACGTGTGCCTTTCCTGGACCCCATCACGCTCCAGTGCAGCATGGCACATGCTCTCCTGGACTATAACACGGAGGCTGATGACAACGTGCCCCACATCCTGAAGGACAGAGCTGCCGCAAGACTGTTTGCACAGGCGGCTTACGCACAGATAAGGATACGGGGGACGATTGGGCTTGGCCTTGGCTTTTGTCCTTTTGGGAAGCAAGGGAAGTGCTAGATCTTGGGGAAGAACAGGGCTCTGAGCCTAAGTGTTCTCAGTGGGATCTGGCAAATAAAAACTTGTTTCTCTCAACGCTGATTGTTGGGTCATGCACCAAGGCATCATGTGAACGGGCCCTTGTTTGCTCGGTTGCAGAAGCATCAGTCAATTTCTCCCAAAGCCACTTCTCGTGTCTCTCCAAGGCATAGAAGCATACATACCTTTAAGCCAGTTGGCAAATTCTTTCATGTCACCGGTGACATAGCCAAGTGCCTTGGGAAAGCACCTCCTCCCCCGACATGGTGAAATCTGGTTTTCTCCACGGTCCTCTTTAACCATAGCAGGGCCCACCTCCATGGATCTCTTCCCCTGGCCCCTCAAGGAAAGAAGAGAGCTCATAAACACCCTGGTGCAGAATGCTCCCAACCGTCCAGCATTGGGCCTGGTCACGGGAGCCACAGGGGGTGAGTTTAAAGGCACTTCATCTGCACCATGACACCCCATGATGCTAAGAAAGCACCATTTTCCTCTTGAAATATCATCATATGGACATTATTGCTCAAACCCCAACTCCATCCTACTTTTGTCATTACTGTCTTTGATGCTGCCAGGAGAAGGCTCTGGTTTTTATGTTCATAAGGTGCAGTTTCTAATTCGACAAACATTTATTGAGCACCTATATCCTGACTCAAAGATCTCACTCAGCCTAGTGGGAAAGGCTGGGAAACAGTTACTTTCAACAGAATGAGTCACATAACACAGAGAAAGAGCTAACACCACATGTTAAGCTTCTCGCTGTCAATCAAAGGAGCCAGCCATTAGATTACCAAGTGGTGCTGACTAGTGCAGACCAATGAGGTACTGTCTGAGACGAACAGCCTTTTAAAATTAAAATTTAATTCTATGAAAAAAAAGTTTTCATTTTTACAAGTTTGAAGGGAAGAAAAACTTTAAAAACAGTTTGCGCATGTTGACACTGCCTAAGAAACCCCTTCACACACATTCTCCAAATTCAAAGAATATTTGAGTGTGTCCTCACATCAGGTAACTGCCTCAGATAATCATTATTTTGGGAATTAGTTCTTCAAATGTTTTAAAATAAGTAAGAATAACACTACACAAAGGTACAGAAAATGAGTAAGGTGGAAGTGGACCAAGTGGTGGAAAATCCAAGAGCTGAAATCTAAGAATTGTATAATATAAGGATGTACGGGGCCTTAATTATAGTAAACGTGCTTCAGGAAAATACTAACAACATAACCATGACTTGTGTTCACTATGAGATTCTTCTCACGGTTAGTGTGTAACAGGGAAGCCCCAACACAGAACTGTTTCACGGTGTCGATGGTGGACACAAAAGAAAACCAGTGATGGAATCCCAGAGGTAGGCGAAGGGAGGAGACAATGGCAAAACCACCTTGAGTGTGCAAGAGAAGCCCAGAGCCCAGCCAGGTAAGTGTGAATAAGTAGGTGAACACCAACACCATCAGCCCCCAAAAGGCCAAACTGGAATGCTGAAGTCACAGGCACACAGGACGTGGCCACGGAAATAACAAAGCCCATGTGGACAAACCCGCTCACCTACCTGGAGCCAGGCAGTGAGGAAGGGGTTCGCTCTCATAGCTTTCTCTGGCCCCATCATCATTTACCATAGCCAGCAAATAGCTACTAACAGACAGAAGAGTGATGCCTTTTTCCCCCTTCAAACCTGACTCTGGCTTTGTCTTCTTTTAGGTCTGGTATGGAAATCAATGTAGGTAACTGGTATTTTTTACTAAGCAACAATTGTACTTTAATTGTATTAGTCCACTGCCCAATTAACCATCTGCTTTCAAACAATGGTGAACCATTAATCATTACACAAAGTAGAAGGTATTTATGGAACACATTCTAGATTCAGCTCATTTTGGCTTGCCAAAATGGTGCTAGATTCATGCATTTGTGAGATTTCCAATGAGCCTTTTGCACTAAGAAACTCAAACTGAAAACTGCTGGAGGTCAGGTTCCAAAACTAAGTCTCTATGGAGGTCACTGGCCCCAGAGTTAAACCTGCTAAACTGAGTTACTATGCAATTATGAAAAGCTGTTTTTTATTTCATAATCTGAGTGATGGCTATCAGTTATTTTCAGATATTTCCCTCTTTAAATGGCATCAGTGAAGACACTGGTTGGGCAGCCCCTTCCCCAGCTACTGTGACTGTCTTCAGCAGCTACGCCAGCTTATCAGAGGCATCAGGCTCCCCCCACCCAGGCAGCCACCGAAAGCTCCCCTCCAACAGCCTTGAGTTTCTCTGTGTGAGCAGATCAGGATCTACAGTGGCAGCGTGGAATGGAAACACTGAAGGGGCATTTTCCATCAGGTGCAGGAACAATTAGGTATATATGGGTTATTCCAGGGTGAACACATTCATGCTTTCAAAATTTCCAGCCCATATTTATTTATTGTAGAGGGTTTAAATTCACCATGGCCTCAGAGATTTTTAAGATACAGACAGGAAACTCGACACTGCCACTGGCCAGACGTGACTGAGAACCTGAACGGTCTGAGTTCCCCGCAGAGCCACCCGAAGTTAAATAAAGATGAAGTTTTGGTCTCAGTCCACAGTCCGCTGGACAGAAGGCGTATTGCCTTCTTTAGGGAAGGAGCCAGGTGTTGGGATGGGTGGTGGGGTCTCCTCCTGTGCGGAGCAGGCAGTGGCTGCTGATTCCGTGCCCTTGAGAACCATTTATTCTGAACTACGAAAGGCTCCTGGATGCCCTGCAAACCCTGACTGCTTGCTCCAGAGCTCCGGCCTTTGTACCGGTTATGAGAAATAGTAACTCAAAGGCTGTAGTTCCTCCTAAAATTTTATCACACTAGACTGTGCATTTCTTTCAGGCACTTTAAGAACCCACACATGGTACTTGGAAAGACAATGGCAGGCAGTACAGCAGGGACCACCTATGATGCGCAAACTTCTCATATTCAACTAAATAGGCCATTAAATTTCAACTAAAAAAGGCAGGACAAGAAAACGAAAAGGAAAAAAAAAACTAATAAAATAGAAGCGGGATAAGGTAAAAAGAAAACAAACCCACAAATAAACAAAACCCAGACTACTTTCCCCAAGCTTTTCTGCGGGTATCAAAGCGCTGCACTCCACGGCCCAGCATCCGAACCATGAGAAACACCGTGTGAGTCGCTGGACCAAGCCCCGCGCGCATCCGGTCCACCCCGCCGCGCTGCTCAGCAGTGCAGGAGGACCCCGCTTCCCAGGCTCTGTTCAGGAAAGACACAGGAGCGCAGGTGCTGAGGTTCCCAGAGGCAGAAGAAGCTGCATGCAGGAAGCATACCTGTTCTGGCTGCCCGCGAACCAGGGCCAGCGTTAGCCGGGAGAAGCCTCGGCGTGTTGCTTCACCGGCTTTATTTCCAAAAGGGACCCTCCAAGGAGGAACAGGGGGGGCGTCATCAGCGCCGCCAGTGAAAGCCTGTCCATTCATCCTCCTTTCTCTCCACACTCTCCATACGTGACAAAGGGCAAAAAATACATGAATCAGCAGGAGGTGCGCCCTGGCTCTGAGGAGCAGGTGAACTGTCAGGTGGAGGGAGGCGGGAGCTCACGGGTGGGTTCCTGAGGAGAGGGGATGTGGCCCCAGACCCAGGCCTCTATCGGAGAGGGAGGACTTCTCCATCAGCCAAGAGCTCCAGCAGCAAAGAGACAAGGGGCTGACTACAGACACCGAATGTTTGTTTTACTTTGTTTACAACACAGCACAACAAAACAAAAATGGTAGCAAACCATCCTGCCTAGAGACCAGCACACAGATCTCGTGCTGCGTGCGTCTTCCCACTACTGGGAGTCTGGCAGCCCTGCAGCCTGTTCCAGTGGAAGGGGCGGGCTTTGGCCCTGAAACGCTTCAGGGCAAACTGTTGGGGCTCCGTCCAGGGACCAAGGCCAAAGCAACAACGTCCTCAGTCTTGGTGCTTTACAAAGTAATAAGGCTGAGCATGAACTCTGTTTTCTGTAATAATGTACTAGCTACACTTAATGCGCAGCAAAGGCCTGGTCTAAGAGAATGCCAAGTGGCATTTCCCCCCTCGGATCTGAATAACAATTGTTAAATGCTGGTCATCGTCTTGTTAATGACAAACAATTATTGGTTGAATTCAACAATGGTGGCAGCTTTTTATGTTTTCTTTTTTTAAAAAAAAAACTTCTGTTGCATCCAAGGATATCATTTTTCCTCCAGTAGTTCCAGAAAACGTTAAAAGTGGTATGTGTGGTATTTCTTTTTTTCTCCCCATTTTATTTAACTTGTACTTTCTTCTATTGGCTCAGTTTCAAACCTGAGAATTCACACTGTACTAGAGTGATTCAGAACAATCTACAATTGTGGCAAATATCACTGCCACGGCTTAGAAAGAAATCGTGTGCCTGTGTTGTCCATCTGTGGTGAAACGATCCGATTAGTTACGTTCAGAACTGATGTGTCTCTGGGTTACATTACGTATATTTTTGTTTGAGAAAGAGCAACATTAAGAAGCCCAATGGTAAGACTCTCATGGATGGTTAAAAAAGTAAGAAAGAAAGAAAAAAGGAGAGAAAGAGAGAAGCAGGAACTGCCGCCTTTCGTCCATGTGCGTGTTTAGCCCTGCAGCCCCTGCAGGTTCCTGCCTCGCACCCACCACCACAGTCACGCGCATCTTGGAGAATCATGTCCTTTGAACTCAAAATCAATCTTTTCTTAGAGCCCAGAGATGGGAAGACTTGAGAGCGAGGTGTGACTTTAGAGAGTGAGTGCTGAAACCTTCATTTTATTGGAGAGAACATGGAGGTTCCCAGTGGGGACCACCCAAGCTCACTCAGCACAGTCAGCCTTATGGAACAGGTGAGCCTCGGCGGTTCTGCGTCTTCAGGTCTGGGGCACATTAACACCACCCGAGGTTGGCAGACAGGGAGGAAGAGTTTCTGAGGACAGCCTGCAGTGGGCACTCCGGTGCAGAGAAGTAGTAGACGCAGCCTGTCTCCATGGCTGCCTTGGTTGGAAGGACCCTGTGCTGGGGGCTGAACAGCCACAAAGGACTCGGGCACCCCCAGTTTCACCCTGTGCCCCTGCCAGACCCGGTGACTGTTCTGGCCAACAAACACCTCCCTGGGCCTCACAGCAGCCCCGTTCTCCTGTAATGCTGACACATCCACAACAAGGCCTGTGTGTGCTGAACCTAACATCCCGAGAATATTCTGTAAGCTGCTTGCTAGCAAGGGTCAGAAAGCCTTGATCACTAGTGAAACAAAACAGTGCTCATCATTCTGACAGAAGGCAGTCTCAACATTTCCATCCAACCCACATTTCCTATGTTATCACGCACACTAGAACTCCCTCCGCTGTCAGCATATACTAGAAATGTGTCCAACTGGAGAGACCTGAAAATCTTCAATTTTCTGTGTCTCAAGTACAGGCAGAACTTGGAGACACTGCAGGTTCTGTTCCAAAGCACTGTAATAAACTACCTCAATAAAGGAAGCCACACAAATGTTTTTGCTTTCCCAGTGCATATAAAAGTTATGTTTACACTGCACTGTAGTCTGTTAAGTGTGCAATAGTCTTGTGCCTAAAAACACAACCTACATACCTTACTTAAAAATAATTTAGTGCTAAAACATTGCTAATCATGATCTGAGCCTTTGGTGAGGCACGGTCTATTTTCTAGTAGAGGGCCTTACCTTCCATTCGTGAAAGAAGAGACCACCCCACAATTTACACAAAGCATGATACAGCAAAGTACAGTGAGACGAGGCACACTCATGTGACTTTAAAAAATAGTCCAGGTTGTGGATATGGATATAGAAAAAAGAATTTAAACATTCAACCATATTAAACAGACGTTCGACTTTGACATTTATTTGGTACTTACAATAATCTTTATTTTAGGTAGTTTTTGATATTAAATGTTGGGAGGTGCTCAGTTTTCTTTAGGGCTGTGAACAGAAACAAAGAAAATGCTGTAAGGCACTCCTGCCCCCTGGTTAAAATACTTATCTCTTGGGAACACACCACTCCTAGAAGCCCTGAGGTCTGAATTCCACATTAAAAAGTGCAGCTGCAAAGAACCTGCCAAATTCAGGGTTTTGCTGTGAGTCCCCAATGGGTGAGCATGTTCCTTCCCACCAGCATGACAGCACATGCAGGAAGGTCCATGAAACCGGACTGGAAAGGGCCATTGCCAGTACCCCACTTTTTTTGGAGTCACAGGGATATGTCTCCAACTTTCCTTAATTATTTCAAGAACACAGCCCGAGACTCCCATGCAGCGTCGATGTCCTCAGAGTCATGTAGCACATCTGGGAGACACCTTGCTGAGAGCCCTCTTCCGCACGGAACTCGGAGACCTCAAACACAGACGTGGCTTTCAGGCTTCCAGAAGGAAGCCCGTGGCTTTGGGAAACTGTTTTCTAGTCTACCAGAACTCTGACTTTGCTTTATGCTCAGTTCCGACCATGGGAAACATTTCTCCACTAAAAGAAAGAAAAGGGAGAAAGAGCAAAAAACAAAAGCAGCCTGAGCAGCCAACAGTTAGCAGTGACTAGAAATGAGGAGGGTACTCACACTCCAGCTGGCTTCCCGGTGGCAGAAGGCACTGGCTTTCTGGTGGCAGAAGGCACTGGCTGATAAAGCCCGACTGTGCTCTGCTAACAGGGAGGGTGCTTGGAGGAGGCAGTGCTGGCAGGGAGGCACCTAAGAGTTTTATACTGAGAACTACACTCCGCACATCCGTGCACGCGGCTATCTCCTCCCACTTCAGGCACCAGTGCCAAAGCATTGCTGAGAAACGGGTCCCCTGTCTCTCACTCAGTGTCTCTCTCTGTTCTTGATCTGGTGCCAACATCTTTGCCATCTTTTCCCTGGCATCTCAAGGTCTTTGCCCGGCCATAATCCTACTCACATTCATCTTTTTCTTCTCCATGCTGTTTCCTGTAACTCCTCCCCTCATCCTGAAATATTTTTTGGAAGGTTTGTAACAGAAAAGGATCGAGAGAGTGTCACTTTAAAAACCAAGGAGCAGGTTGCTATGCAATGGACTCTGGAGCTAAGTGACTGCGCCTGGAGGGAATTTTCTCTTAGATTCAGCTTCTGCACAGGTGTACGTGTCCAGCGAGGCCCTGAGGGGCGCTGTACGAGGGTGAGGAGGACCAGGGGCAGACAATGTGTTTTATGGAAACCAAGCTGCTCTTTCCCCAGTGAGGAGAAAAAACTTTGCAAATGTTTCCCTGGAATATCCCTCTGCTTAGGTGGAAATCCCATCACAAATTCTGCTGCCTTTTAAAAATGCAGAGGCAGCCCTGGCTGGCGTAGCTCAGTGGATTGAGCGCGGGCTGTGAACCAAAGTGTTGCAGGTTCGATTCCCAGTCAGGATACATGCCTGGGTTGCAGGCCATGACCCTCAGCAACCACACATTGATGTTTCTCTCTCTCTCTCTCTCTCTCTCTCCCTATCTCCCTCCCTTCCCTCTTTAAAAATAAATAAAATCTTTAAAAAAATGCAGAGGCTACATCGTCAATAACATGTGATAAGTTCACACGGTGATGGATGGTTGCCAGAATTAGTGGGGTGATCATATTATAAGGTATAAAAATATTGAATCACTATATGGTACACCTGAAACTAGTATAACCAATATAAGGTTGTATACCAACTATACTTAAATAAAAATAAATTTGAAAAGAAGTCTAGAGGCAACCATCCCATAGCAGAGGGCCTAAAATTCAAGTAAAGACATCCATTTCTTCCTCATTCTCCTCAAATGTCAACTTCGTGGCATGTTCTGAGGGGCAGCATCTACCTCAGGGGTACTCTGTGAGCACAGAGTTTATAAAACACCCACAGAAAGCTGTGCAGACATCAGCTGCCTTTCTCTCCTCTGGGCCTCCCTCCCGCCTGGATGAGCTGAAAGCCCTGGTCTGTGGTCAGCAAAGCAGCTGCAACTCTCTGGCTCCACCCGCTGGATGGCCGCCAAACCACAGGGTTCCCTGTCTCCTTGGGGACTCCCTCCCTCCAGGTGCCTCCTGTAGCTGAGGGTGTCTGTGTCTGGGGCCTGGGAAGGAGGCCATTGTTCCAGCTTCATGATTAGAGTTTTGAGGCCCTGGCATATTTCCTGCCAACATTTTCCCCTGGTGAAGTAAGGAGAAAACAGACTCCTGAGGCTACCCTGAAAGAGAAAGGTGAGTCACAAGAGGACAGTCTGAGGGTCTGGCACAGGAATGAAAGGCATCTCATTAGCGCTCCTTATGCAGGTGAGGTACAGTCCCTTACAGTGATAATAATGATAATGATAATAATGATAATGATACAAATTGCACAATTAGTTGAGAATTCACTCTACACAAATGAGAAATCCAAATTTTCACAGCTTGATTGGTCCACACAGCATTGTCCTGATTGGTCAGAACTGCGTATCCGATTGGTCGTACGGAGCTCTGATTGATCAGTAAAGATGCATGTGTGGCTATAGCTGCACAGCTGTGACGGCACGGGGCAGGTCTCAGCCCGCTGGGGGAATATGACTTTAGGAATCCTTTTATAAGGCTTGGCTCAGCCTGCAGGTGCACAGTGCAGGGGCCCAGGCTGCCCAGGCTGCCCAGGTGGGGGTTTCCCTGAAATGCAACCAGTGTGACAGGCCCTCTGTCAACAATGGCTGATAGACTCCAACTAGAAATTTGGGCCCATAAGCACAAAGAATTCTGAAAGAACATTGTATTGTATTGTATTTATTTATTTATTTTAGAGACAGGGGAAGGGAGGGAGAAAGAGAGCGAGGGAAACACTGATGGGTTGCCTCTTGTATGTGCCCTAATCAGGGACCAAACCTGCAACCCAGGCATCTGCCCTGAAGAAACTGAACCAGCGACTTTTCACTTTTCCGAACAATGCTCAACTAACTGAGCCACACAAGTCGGGGCACAAGGAATCCTTTTTGATAGCTATATTTCTTCTTAAGGTGGAGAAGAGAATGCCCAAGAAGCCCTCGGCCCCTACCCTTAACCCCATAAGAGCGGAGCCTCAGACCCACGCAGCTTGTGCGTGCTTGCTCTCTCTCCTCAAGACCTTGTGTGTGGCCCCAAGAGAGCCATGTGATTCTTCTCCAGGTTCTACGAATAATAAACCTTTACCAAAGTTTTCTGATGGTTGTTGCTGAAGGATGTCTTGTGACTGTTATGAGAAACGTGGGTGCTAGCGACAATACTGGTTACTGATAGGCTGACACCAGCGTAAACCAACCATTCAAGCATATTTGTAGATGTTGTCCTGAAGCCACCTCCACAGGGACCCAGGAAGCCTCTGCCTCAGTGGCCCTGGTCAGGGGCTGAGGGTACATACTGGGGTCTCAAGTCGTCTGGGCAGAACCACTGCCTCTTCTACCCTTTCTTCCTGGCCTCTCCCTGGCCCCTATAAAGCCACACCGTATTACATTGTATGCACTGCTCACAAAATACACCTTGCTACACAGCATTCACAAGGTCTTGTGAAGCATGTGGGGTTCTGAGTCTGACAGCTTTGAGTTTGAATTTTGGCTTCATCCCTTGCTAGCTGTGTCCCTTACCTAAGCCGACTACAGGCATGTGACTTACCCTGTCTGAGCCTTCGATTCCTTGTTATAAAGTGGGGTAAGTTTGCTTCCTTTCTAAGTTCATGATGAGGTTGGCAAAGATGTATTCAAAGCTCTGTACCTGGCACAAAGAGATGCCACCAGTCCGACGTCTGTCTCTCTCAGTAAGGGGGGACCTGTCCTTGAGGACTCCTGGGAGGTAGGGGTCCTGCCTCCCAGCTAGAACCAGGGGAAAAGCTTCTTCCTGGCTCCCACATCTGAAGGGGCGTAGTTATGAGCAGAAAGGTAAGTACAGGGTCTGGCACAAATAACGCCCCTCTTCATTACACAATATTAAGCATGTAATTCTGTAATATAACAATACCCCACTCAAACACACCTTATGACATTTTAGGTGAAATTTTCAAATTAAAACCGCAAGTCATTACACCCATATTACTGCCCTACCAACCACATTCAGGCAGGCCTTACTTGTGCGGGACCTCCCTGAACCAGGCAGGCGGCTGATGGGGCTCGCTGACTTCTCCCACTGCAAGATGCTGGGGTGCAGGGTCCGCGGTGGAGGGAGGGCTGCGGCTCGGGAAAGAACCCGGAAGCGGGAGACCGGAGGGACAACTGGGCTCCCAGTAACGAGTCATAGATGGGATCCTAGGTATTTTAAAACAGCCTTAATTGCACAATTCAGTGACTTTTTCTCAGTTCTTTCTCCAGCTCCTCCAGGTATCATTTATGGAATAGCACTTGCTGTTTGATCCCTGACATTGTTTGTTGTTTTCTGCTGCCCTACGGTGTTTCCAACCGCTTCTCCTGGTATCCCTCCGCGCTCTTGGTGCCCGGGACTCGTCCTCCACCGCTCTGTCTGGCTCAGTCGCCCTGGGACGTGTTCGAGCTTTCCTCCTCTCTGAGTTTCTCCACGGAGTCTGGGTCCTAGAAAGTTCTCTCCCTGCCTATGTTTTCACCTTCACACCTAGCCCTTGCTCCTCTTCTATTTGGATTTCCCGGCAGACTCCTGCCCACGTCGCTCTTCTGGGAACTTAAAACAACGTGTGCCCGCATCTCTCACTGAGCGAGGGATCACACTCCCACCCCTGCAACCAGCGTTGTTATTATCTTTTATTTAAAAAAAGAATTACACCGCACAGTTCCACCTGGGCTGGGAGCTTCTGGATGACAAGGCGAGGATCTCTTATTCCTCTTTATTCCTAACGTCTCTTTCTTTCCAAAGAGATTTTGAGGAAGTTCATAAAATAGATGGAGGAGGAGATTAGAACTAAATGAAGAAATGTGGAAGAATGACTTGATTTTAGTGTTTTTTTCCCCACACAGTGGGGAAATATCTACATTTGTAGATATTTCTAAATATCTGTTGTTTGACTCAAAGTATGCCAGCTCTGTTTCTTCAGGATTACCCCTGGTGGCCATCTAGCTACGGGCAGTTTAACTTTTCAAACCGCGGGCACCACAAGCAAAACGGGGCAGGGCCACGCTGAGGACGTCTACACGCCAGGACCGCTGCAGAGGCCCTTGTGCATCCTGCATCCTAAGCAGGCCTTTTGTAAACGGAAGAGAATGTGCTAAAAAAAAAATTCTCCTCTCTTTCTATCCTCTCACCCCTCATGAAGAGAGAAGGAAAGACCGCAAGTCTGGAACAGAACGTTTCTCTGCAGTGTGCTCCGAGCCCACAACGTCTAGCTCGGTGAACAGTCAGGCAGAAAGGCACCAGATGGCAGCTCAGACTCCCACTGACCCAGAAGCCACGTGGAGCTCCCGCTTTGTGGCAGGCATTCCCTCGCCAGAGGAGCCAAGCAGGCACGCAGTACAAGCACCTCTCTCAAACCTCCACCGCCTGTGCCTGGCCAGAGCAGCCTGGGGATGGGTGATGCCAGAAGGCACTGTGGTGCCTCCATTTTTAGCTCTTAAATGCAGTTATTTAGTTCTTAAGTGCAGTTATTCAGCCCTATTTAATAGCTGGGGGCTCCTCCTGCACACAGCAGAAGGGCGAAGGAATCTCCACCCCCACCAACGAGGTCAATCAGATGCACAAACACATCGTCTCTTCTCCAGCTTTTAAATTAAATTCAAGCCAGTGTAAGGCCCATTATGGAGGACTCTGGAGTCCACAGCCAGTGCCTAAGGGTGTGCAGGTTGTACACTGGACAAATATACTGCATCTAAGGGGCACCATTAGCATCCTAGACAGTTATGGGTTTATTGCAAAACCCCTGTGGGGGCACTAAATGTCTTGAGGAAAGGGGTGCTAGAATGCCTTTGCACAAAGGGGCCATTCAGCTAGCAGTGGTCCTGCTGGTGTTTAAAATTTTTCCCAATGAAGATGAAGAGGGAAAGGGGTAGCAGGAGAAACATTTAAATCTCCTCAGACTAGGTTGAAGAAGAGAAAAAAGGAGGTTTGGGGCTGGCCCTGTTTCCCTGACTCTCTCTTGAGGATAATTCACAATTTATTAGATTGTTTCTTCACCATTAAAGATACTGGGATGCTGGCCTGAAGCCTAGGCAGAGGGGCTGTCATTTATAATTAGGTGGTAAAGAGAAGGCGGGATGGCCTGGCGTCTCCATCGCAAAGGGGGCTTTTTCGACCAGGGGGCTGGCCAAGTGTTATAGGCTCTTGGCGAGGACATCGGCCACCAGAGGTGGAATGGGATGGGTTGAGGCCACTCCCAGCCAGGCCCCCGCCCCCCCACTGGGGTTACTCACCAGGGAGCACTATGGAGAGAGCCGGCATTAGAGCAGCCAAGAAGCTGCAAGGTATGGATGGATGTGCTAAATAAACTGAGGATGCCCTCTGGAGCCAAGGAGTGGCAGCTGGCTCAGGTTCCTCACGGTCGTCCCATCTGGAAGCTTCATTACTGCCAGCTGCACAGTTTTGTCAACTCAGCCTGATTTAAAGGACCCTTTGTGGTTATGAGAACTGCTCTCTATGACCATCCCCATCTTCCACTAATTGGCAGCCAAAAGCCTGAGAGGGACTCACAGCCTGGCCCCACACCCCGGGTGTCCCCCTTGCCTCGCTCCCTAGTGTGGGGAATCGAGAGGCACTAGTTCCGACAAGATGGGCACTTTACCCTCTAGCTTCTCACTTGCCTCACTGACTGCAGGAGGAGTTGGACTAATTCTCAGTCTTGTAATTCTCGGTCTTGTCTGCACATTGGACTTACTTGAGCGGGGGGGCTTCTAAAAATGCTGGTATGGTCCTTTTTTGCTAGAAAGCCTGATGTAGTTGATCAGGGTTGTGAGAGCTCTAGAAGTCCTCTTGGCGACTCCAATGGGCAGGCATGGTTGAGAAACACCAGACTGAATCTAGTCCTAACTCTTCGCCCTCCAAAGCAGGAAAGTCTTTCATAGTGGAATCAGATGGAGTTTGGAGTTTGACACACCAGGTTCAAGTTCCAGCCTGCCATGACACCATGGGGAAAATTACTTTACCTTTCTAAGCCTTAATTCCATCAGTAAATTAATGGAGGTTACTAATACCTACCTTGCCAAATATAAAGATTAAATAAGATGAGGGCATGTGATAGGCATTCAAGCAAAGGTAGCTTTTATTGTTATTCCCTCCTAAAACTGTTCCTACCTTTGACTTCCTTATTTTTGCCAGTGGTGCCATCATTATCCCAGTTCTTAGGCTCAACAAATGGTTGATGAGTGAGTAATGGCTGGTGGATCTGACCATTCTCACCCGTGAAGGAGAGGGGAAGGTTTATTTCATTCAGTCTGGTTCATGTTCTGAAGTCTTCCCAGTACGGTCCACAGACCAGCTCCACCCACAGGCCTGGGCACTTGTTTAGAAATGAGGACTCTCAGCCTTACCCAGACCTTCAGAATCAGAATGTGCATTTTAACCAGATCCCCAGGGGGTCTGCATGCACATTCAAGTTTGGAAAGCACCACTCCCAAGCATCCTTGTCCTTGAAACTTAGTGAAAAGGGATGAATTCAAGTCCCTGGAGTGGTGACAGTTTACAAATTCCAGTGTCTTGGTTGGATACACCATGGTGAGCCCAAGTGAGTCATGGTTGCATTCCAGCTGGCAGCAGGGAGCACGCTGTCACAGGCTGGGCCCGGCTGGGCCACGGCGGAGCTCTAGGCAAAGCTTCATCACCCCATTAGACTCCATCGAGGCACTGCATCAGGTTCCACCCTTCATCTGGCGCTAATTGCTTCACATAGGCTCAGTGCGTGCCTAACCGCCCTCAGTCACTACAACAAGTTGTCACAGGTCACACAAATGAAGTGACGCTTGCATGCATAGGGGCAGGCCACTTCCTGCCCGGGGAGGCTGGCAGGGGCTCCTATGGTCTAGCCAGAGGCCCCAGGACTGACCCTCCACCTCAGGGTCTTGGGGATCTTCCCTAAGCATTTCCTGGTTGGCTTGCACCCCTTGGTTCTCCAGCTTAGATTCCTTGGCTTTTTTACCCAGGACCCTGCAATGATCCCCCATCCCACCCCAGTGCACAACTGCCTCACCCAAAAGGCAAACCACCTGGTGTGGAACTGTGCTTTCTATAGCCTATGTTACAGCAGTAGAGGTGTTAAATACCCTTTTCAAATTACAAAGACACCTGCCATCCCATTTGTTATCCCTCTAACCCTGGGGCAGGGGCAGGTAAGCGCTTCCCATCGATTCTCTCTCCATCGATGCTCTCTGTAGGAAGGCGACACTGCAGGCTAGGACTGCAGTCAGTGGCCTCTCTCAGGGCGTTTCTCTTTGCTCTCTTGGCATTTACTATTATTTGTAATGACTTTAATTGTGTGAGTTCTTGCTTTATTTCGTTTTACCCACTGGGCTGCAAGCTTCCTTAGGGCAGAGTCTGGGTTGGTCCTATTCACAGGGGTAGGGGGGCAGACTCTCATCAGGAGGGAGGGAACTCTGGAGGCACCCTAGGACTAAGACAAAGGACATCAATACAGAACAGAACCCCTGTTCCAAGACTGGCTCCTCAGGAATGAGAAAACTCCAGAGTTGCCCCAGGGCCAAGACAAATGACATCCATACAGGACAGAGACCCTGCTCTAAGACCACTTGGAAAAGTGGTGAATCATGACTATATCTGCTCAGAAGATGCTACATGACCCCTGCTTCATTATAACAGCATTATAATACATTAGCATTGTGGGACTCCATCCCCTGGTAGCCAATCAAGGAAAATCATGGGAAACCATATGCACAGTAGTTTAAAGTGATAAACTATTATTGTATATGCACAATAAAAGCCACCAAAACTAGCCAGGAACTACCCGCCCTATAAGAATGGAATCCCTCCAGCCACTGAGGGTCGATCTCTGCTGGGTGTTGGCCTGCTCCCATGTTTTGTGGAATGTACTATTGCTTAATAAATCTGCTCTCTTCTTTCTGCTATCAACTCTGTGTTCAGTTCAATGCATGTTTCACGACCACTGAGAACTTGGTTACCTGTGCCCACCTGCGACAGTAGCACTCGTTTCAGGCTCAGTGTCTGATGCATAGAGATCCTCGATAGGTATTCCCTGAGTACACAGATAAATAAATGTGCTTCTGACTCTGGAGACTTGAAGGGCGAGCGTGAATTCTTGCACAGCACTGAGAGAGTTGTGTGTGTGTGTCTTTGGTGTGGCAAGGCGGTGGGGATGAATTTGCTCCCAGTACAGCCCTCAGAGCAGGCTACAGTGTTACTGGGACGTGTAGTCCAGGGAGGTGTGCCCTTGCCGTATGGAACACACCGATGACCACTTCTGCCACAGGGCATTCAGCCTTAGGAACCAGCACCCAGCACTCCAGCTTGCAGGCCAACTGTAGTCAAAGGATTTGGCTAGCATCCAGGTCAGTCCTAGAACAAGGGAGGATGGAGCCCTAGCTCCAGGTTCGCAGAGGGCTGGTTTTGGGTGCACCCGAGCCATCCTGAGGGTGAGCAAGCAGAAAGGAAGCCTGCATCTTCAGGACTTCGTGGGTGGCAATCAATGTGGATAATACAGGAAAGTCCCAATCCAAGCTGCCACACCTGGGCTCAGCCCAAACCCAAGAAGCCAGGGCTCTCCAAAGACTGGGTGTGGGCTATGGCTGGTTTCTCCTCCATCTACATTCCAGGTCACAGACTGCAAGTGCAGGATGCCTTGACTAGTTTAGTGACCTCCTGCTAACCTGGGACTCACTGTCTCCTCTCAGCTCTGAGCACCGCCCATCCTATACTTGTTCATCCCTGGTTTCCCATCCTACTGTGTATCAAGGTGAATTCTCAGGACTCTAGGGGATGGTGTGAAATGGAAGGTAGTTCTCACACCCTGGTGAAGCAAGACACAGGCAGCATTAGTGTCAGGGTTAAGGCTGTATATGATCAATGGTCATCTATGGGCCTTAGCACAGAAGGCATTTGTGATATCATCAGCCTACAAGGGAGCCCATCCCGCAGCCTTCCAGAGAGGGACAGGAGGCCTGTCAGTTTCATCAACAGCTGCCATATTTTAAGGTTCTCTTGCATGATAGGAGATGATGTGCAATGAACACATTGTATGCAGGAAACGTATTTATACGTTTTACGTTGACTGGTAGTAGAGCGAGTGATAAAAACTACCCGCAAACAATGTGTTAAGTGCTAAACTGTGGGCACACACACGTTAGAGCTAAGAGTTTGGTTTCTGGAGTAGGCAGAGGGAGCATTTCTGAAGGAAAAAGCCTCGTAAGGCCCTTCACATTCGAGTAGCATTGGATGGAGGCAGAAAAAGAAGAAATGGCCTTTCAGGAAGAAACATGAGTGTCAGCCGAGGGAAGCATGGCGTGCCCGTGGGCTGTGAGCATCTCTGTGATTGCTCTGGAGGGCGTGTGCCGTGATTCACGCCTGAGTTTCCAGGCCCTGCCTGGGTTCCCAAGGAAAGCAGCGCTCCTTCCTGTTTGCATAAGGCAGCTGAATGGACAGCCCTCTGATTTGCTGCCTCGTGATCTGATACATTAACCAGGCATTGAGCCCCTACTAAAAACTCAACATCAAAAAAAGTATAAGTAAGGAAAATACTACATTGTAAAAAGAAAAAAGATGGAACTATGAACCTCTACAGCCATTTAAAATAGAGAAATTATGCTTTAAGCTTTAAAGATGGATGATATGAACTAGAGTGGATTGGAGTCCCTTGTGGACAGTATACATTCAAGTAATAACTATAATAGACTGTAAACAAACACTAAACAGTTTTATTTGCCTTCACACATTGGGGAGAAGGAAGCAAATTTGTGTTTTTCTTTTTCTCATACATTTATTTCTGTTTCTCAGTAATAACAGGAGGTAAGGATGTTTCTCTTACTGAGAAGCAGTTTTAAAAGGAAAGTCAACTTAGGATTTCTATTTGTTACCCCCTATCTTATCCCCATCCAGTTAGAATCCAAAGCTCTGCTTGCTTTAGGATCAAATAATGGCCACCAGCAAGCAAGAAGGGATTGCTGTCCCTTTAGGGAAGTCATGAAACACTTGTGAAATCACTAGTGTTTTTTTGGCTATGCTCTTTATAATTTGGGGCTTCTCTGGAAATGAGGGTATTGGAACAAACTTTCTAAGGCTTTACCAGCACCAGGTCTCTCCAGTTTGGGTGCTTCTTGTAGCTCTGCTAACAAAGAAGACGGTTTTCCTGCCAAACAAGCTGAGTCTGAGACGCACAGGAAGAGGGTCTAAGGCATCAGGATAATACACGTGGGAAGGCAGCGTGGAGGCCTAAGGGAAAGATGGTGGCTGTGGACCATTGGCCAGGGTTGCACAGCAGGTCAAAAGCCCAACATATTCAAGCAGATCTAACTCTAAAGTAAGTGGAGAGCAGGAGTGACTGAAGTTCTGTGGACAGAACAGTGTGATTGTGACAGCCTCACTTAGGGAAGTTATCATGGGGCGGCCTGAAGGTCAAAGCCAGGGAGGCTTGCTCATGGTGCCTGCAGTGGGGAATGTACCAAGGGGAAAGGGCTGCAAATATGAGATCGTCTGGGAGGGAAAAGGGTGGTGGGTACGGGGTGAAGGTCGGGTGAATCAAAAACAGCACCAAGTGTTGGGGAGGAGGCGGAGAAGCCATAATTCACACGCTGCTGGAGGAAATGGATGTGGACAGGCCCACAGTAGAAAACTGCAGACGGAATCTGCAAGAGTGGGTGTCTGCACACCCCACAGCCCAGCAATGCTTCCCTAGGAACATACACAAAATAAACACGTACATATGGTCACACCAAAAGATGTGCACCACAAAGTTTAATCTGTGCTATTTATAAAAGCCAAAAATGGAAAACCCAATAGCCCATCAGCAGTAGAGTGGGTAAATAATGATATATTTGCACTGCAAGAGAGAATGAATGACCTAAAATTCCATTCAGTAGTACGGATGCAGCTCACAGTGTTGAGTGATAGAAGCCAGGCACGAAAAAGTGTAGATGGTATGATTCCATTTA